AATTTTAAATGTTTTGGATGCAACTCTTGAACAAGAGGGTATCAGTCATCTGTTACCCATTATCACCCTCGTAAACGTTGAGTAGTGGTAACCTGCCAAAATTGTACATGCACTTCAATGGCTTACTCACGCCATTATGATAAAATCCACTATCAACACTTCGTTATCTTATGCAATCTAGAGGGATTACACTCATTGCCTGCCACGTAACAAACACTAAATATAGGATGACATTTTCTTACAAGTACACTTGGTGATCAGTCTTGCGTCATTCAGCTGATTTCCAGTTAAAGAATATTAATTTATTTAATTCTGATAATTTTTCTATTTTTAGATTTAAATTCATTGTTTTTCTGATGATCTAACCATGACCAAACTTGCGTCAGCAAAACTTTAGACCAACCTGCAGAGATGCAAATCTAGCAAGAAGTTTCTATATATTGAAAAAAATCATTTTAGTAAAAATTGTCACTGATGCCTGTTAAGAGTTTAGTATTCTGAAAGACCTAGAGTTCCGCAAACTGACACCATTAAGGCAAGGTCTGTTAGGGCATCTAAGTGATTAATGGAGAGGCATAGGTAAAAGTATAGGATATTACAATGTTCTCTATTATCTCCACAAAAAGGTCCAAGTAGACTTCACTTAAAATCTTGCCCAATTCCGATCAGATATGGCGTTCTCATTGATGCAGTTTACGGGGTGAATTTTGACAGCAGCTTTAAATCCAAACCTTTTTAGGCTTAATCTGATTCTAGACTGTGTGAATAATGGACCCCAGTCTTAAGAATGAGTCCCACGCTTTCAGAAGACTAGATTTGTTCGGAGTGATCTCACTCCCTCTGACCAACTGCTGAGAATTAATTTTTCATAATCTTACATTCGGTTAATTAAGCAAGTATTTAATTGTGATTTTTATGCTCTCTTCTTTACTGAAATAAACAGAAAGTAATTGGAGCCTGCCAAATCCGGAATAAAGATAGATTCAGGCCCGTTTGGATCTGGGTGATGCGGTGCATGAGCATTAATAGTATTTTGTGTTTCTTGCATTCGAGCGGAAAAGAGAGATAATAAGTTTCTTTGGAAATCTTGACTAGGATTAGTAACATTAGCTGGAATGTCTCACCGAGTATCCGAGACGGCAGGTAACAGATAATTAAGTACAGACTTTGTCTTGAATCACTAACCTCTTGCATACCGGAAATGTTGTCTATTGTATGTTTGTACATGCCACAGAACAGTATACTCATGGTTTCAGTTTCTCCAAAATGTTTCCCAATAACGACTTATCATTTCTCTCCTACACTCTATGAAGTCCAGCTCACGGTTCCCAATTTTTTCGTGATTCAGCACGCTTTTGGCCGGTAAGTTTTGATTAATTGCAGAATCTATCCATAGTTTCGATGACTTGGTGATGAGTAGTAACCTCTGATATGTAGATGCACTCTCGCAATCACTAATTGTCCATAATTTTCAGATTTGATTGCTCATATTCTAATTTTATTAATTTTACCGTATTCTTTGTACACTGCATTTTGCCGAATATGGCATAAGAGTAGACATTTTCGTAAGTGTTCATGCATGCTAAATTATTCTGTGATCAAACTAGATTTTTTTACAACTCACTCAGTTGCAAATTTAGTTGGATAAAGTTTTCGCAACTTTGCCACATTGCCACGAGTGCCCTTGGGTCACAAGTCGGATATGAATTTCAAGGAAGGTCAGACATTTTCCCAAATTACATTCTGTGATGGGATTGTCGTTGAAACAAACTTATATTTGCTATAGCAACCGATGAATTTACTTATATTTCGTTTAAATTAAGTTTTAGAGACTAACTTTTGGGAAAGCAAGGCTATGAAAAATTTAATTAAGCGTCAGCTCTATTCATAGCATCGTGGGAAAATTCAACCACCAGTCCTTCTTCACCTCAAACAAAATAGGGTGAACATAACTCATGAAGTGTTTAGCTTGTTGCTAAGGTGGCCGCGTCTTACTGACTAGGCCGACGTTGTTGCCAGCCAAGTATTCGGCCCGAGGCTGGAAATTAGCATGAATAATAGTTCATTTGACATGGGATGGTATACATTCCTCGAGTTCTCCCTCTTCCCTTTACCACTCCTATACAACTAAAAAGAACTGCGGCCGAACTTAAGGCCATACCATCTGGATCTTCATAGGTTAGTTTGATGTTGCTGAAATATGCCGTTATAAGAATTATTTTGGCACAATCCACATACGTAAACATTTTCTTAATACACACTTGATTAAGAATAAGTTTTTTTTCTCAATGAGATATCACGTCTTGGACATTTTTTACTAACCCACAACGGAAGGCTCTGAATCTGCGATAATGGTCCTCGGGGCGAAATGACCGTTCGGCAGCTGGCCGTAAAGTACGTAATCGTCCATATTTTCTTTATCCGACTTTTCAGTAGATGATGAATTGCAGACACCGGACGCGTCTATTCTGTGTTCAACGCCAAAGAGTTCCCAACAGGCGCTTGCCAGCTGACATCCGAACTGGCCGGCATAGATTTGAATTATTTCTCGATGCTACAGATAAAATATAAAATTCATCCATTAAATGGCAAACTGTAAAATGGGGGATAGATTATGAGATAAATTACCTGTTGAATCAGCGTATTGGCTAAAAGAATGAGAAGTATTGAAGACTTCACACTTCCCTTTAGGATGAAGGATGCAACGAATCTTAACGCAAGTTTATGCTCTGTCATCAAGTGACCATGGAAAGATTCAATATCATTCCCTGTAACTCCATCAAACAAACGATATTTTCCCCATAAATCAGATTTCTCATTGCAGCGACCAATTAATTGTCAAATTTCTTTTCTGTTAGACAGATTAGAAGTCATTTTACTAAATTTTTTTAAATTAATCGATCAATCAGCCCTGAGGCAAATTGTTATATATCACTAAGTAACCTATTCTAGCTTATCCAAACCATAGCATAAATATTCTGTAAAGAATAAAAACAAAATTTATCAGTTTCCTAGTCGGAGTAGTTATAATACTAAAAATACCAGGGAATAAAGTAACTTGGCCCCAAATAAGAAGATGACATCCGTTTTAATAAAAAATCAGCGAGAACAAAGATAAGGTAAACAGTCTGTCGTAGATATCTTTTAATGTTGGGCTACCTTTCATTTCGTTTGAAGAGTCGGATGAAAGCAATTCGAATGTTGGCCTCACCGGAAGCCAAAGCAGGATTGCCTTAGACCTCTGACTGTAGATTTTTGCGAATACTTCCTCGACTCACTGTCTTGCGGCTCTAAAGAATCTTTACTGGGCTCTCGCCCGTCTTGTGACGGACATGGTTAGAACAAGACATCATGTTTAACGATAATCCACCAAAGCACCAAGGCAAGAAAGGTGGTATGCTTCAATCTTACCTACATCTTCTAGTCTAACTTTGTCCACTTAACGAGACATCACATGATTTTGTTGCATATCCTTTGATTTTCCTACAAGCCTGTTGAAAAGTCGAGTTGCTGTAGTTGAAGCATGAAGTGGGCAATATGCTGCTGCATGTGATTGCCTCATATTGAACATGTGTTGTGTGCATATAATGCTCTTGAGTCGCGTGAGTTGTGAAAAGTAAAAAACAAATTTGGGGCCAATCAAGTCTCCTCTTGCTTAGAGCTACTTACTTTTTCCCCTCTCTCCCTCTAAACCTACTTAACAATAATAAGTAGTTTCTGCTAATTTCTTACATTCGTTTCTTTTTTTCAGGATGTTGGCTGTTTTGTTGATTTCTACAGATTCCATAATCTTCAATTGGTTGATCTAGTCTGCCAATTTAGCTTAGCGATTGGCTTCAGTTCAGTCTATTGTGGTGTCCTGCAAGAGCTATATTTTTGGCTAATCCCGATTTTTGGAACCATAAACCTTTTATGTATGGATCGGCAGGTCTTCCCCTCATGGAGGCTACCCCATGAACACAAGACCTCGTAATATCCCGATTTAGAGAGAGTCCTAAAACTTCTTAAAAGATATCATCACATGGGCAAGCGTCATTTTCTCCTTATACACTATACTTATGTCCCAATTCCTCAGTACTTCTCATATCTTGAGAAGTAGATGCTTCCCTTCATCTGATTTCTAATATTTTAACAATTGTCAATTAATCCTAATGGTTAGTTGTTCTCGACTTAAATTTTTCTTAATCGTCTCAATTTCTGGTTTCAATGATTAATACCTGCAAGAAGAAGGCTTCTAATTATTGAGGGTCTCATAACTTTTACATTAATCCCATATGAATGGTTTAAAAATAAGATTAAAAGGAATTCTTCAAATGTGGGTTTACTATCAAAGTTGTTACACAATTTGTTTCCATCTTTGCTAACTATAATAGCTATAAAAGGTAGGCTAACATCCTTTTCTAATTCCATAGCGAAGTAATTTTTTCCTCTGATTTTATTTTTAACTTGAGGAAGTTTTATAGGCTTTCATTTTCGTGCCAGAGGCGACAACATCTTGATCTTCATATTTTCATTTCCGTGTTGTCAAACGCAAAGTATTCGTTGTAGACAAAAACGATCCGATGGATAAGCCTCTTATTTATTTGAACAATCTACCCTTAATACTATAATATGTACAGCTCATCACTAAATTCATCAAGATCATTATTGCCTCCTTACCTACATTTGCTATGCTCAAAATATCTGAATGCCGATCGAATACTAATTCTAGATCCTGTATAGCTTCACTCACGGGAATTTTATTATACATCGAATCCCCACTTTGTATCCTATGCTCATTTACTAATTAAACGTATTTATAAGAATTCTTTATTAAAAAATGCCAAGTCTTGGAGAAACATAAAGTATGCTTGTTAGTGTTTTGGTCTGGTATCGTTGGACTTTTTGGACGTACAGGCACTTTAAGAAACTGTGGCAAAATAGGCTGAGAATCTGTTTGCGTCATCTCTTGCTTTTATTATAAATATTGCTCCCATCTCCTATAGCATCTCGTCATGTCTACTCCTTTACTTAATCAATTATTACGGAATAGTTTTTGGTTTTACTGATTGTACAAATAAGTACAATCCACACTTCCTCGTTCACTATCAATTGTTATGGAGGCATGTCGATAAAACTGGTCTTTCTTTGCCTAATATTATAACGTAGATGATGCATTAATTTCAATGGAAATTAAATCATTTACTAAAATTTTGCATTTATCTGTAACGTCTTAGTGAGGTATATGAACAAGGCCTGTCCGATTTGCAACTTCTCGGAATTAATAGGGCCTTTAAACCACGGTAAAAAAGAAGATTTTTCACACTTTTTAGTCGATCCTTGTGCAGCATCATCTCTTTAAGCCAATCTGCTTAGACCGCCTGCTTGCCAGCATCACACGTATATTGACATCAAAGAATTGGGTTGCTAATTGGACAATCTTTGTCAGTCGACCGGGTCGACTATCAATCGAATTCGTCTTGATTCAGCTGAAATGATAAGGTTTTCTCTTTCTTATTGTAATTGTTTATGCATACTAGACTGGCGTTCGTATTTGCTGAAGTCAAATTCTATTTCGGACCGTCAAATGTCGGGCCATTTTGGCGTTTAACTAAAGAAAATAATTTGCCGCAAACAATGTTTGAAATGGAGGCCTATTAGAGTAGGATCTATTGTTTTAAATGCAAAATGGCTAATCTAGAAAGTGATTAAAGTCATAAAAAAAGTATTGGGAAGAACATCATTCGACGAATAGATCAGTCACTTAAAGGATAAAAAAACATTGATTAATAGTTTAGGCCTTATGAGGATTTTCCCGAAGGGACATGCGAATTAATTTGGCCAACAATGAGGACGAGGATACAGTGTTCTTTTTTAAATACTCTGATACCTTTTCCGCCTCGACGACTAGAATGCTATTTCCCGAGGAGCCTGCTAAAAAAATTAAACCTACATTTAGATTGGTACGCCGAAAAATATGTGAAGGATCGTTTTAATCTGCAAGACATTACTTCATATTTGACCTTTTAGACCCTGAAGTATCCAGCAGCTGTGACAAAAACTTTGACCTATCTGGACTCAGATAAATGCCTAAAAATTTACGAAATATTTTTCTCAATTCACACCATAAGTGTTCCACACTTCAGGCAGGGAGATTATAACCGATAAGTTACGCAAAAAAACACAAATGCATGTCTTGCTGCAGCTTGAAGCAAGGTTTAATGCCTATTCTTTATCAATCAATTTCAGTTTCATAAGAATGCAAAATTGGCAGCTAGACGCTGCTACTAAAGGCCATGGGGATCATAGAGAGTTGTCGTAATGGCATCAACAGAAAAATGAAGGAAATCCAATTGGTCAGAACAATAGTGATTCTAATTAAATTCACAGTTATTTCACTAATCTCTAAGACTCATCAACTCAAACGGACGTAGGTTCGGGCTTATGTAACTGAATATATGCCTTTTATTGTCTAATTACACCCTGAACATTACATATTTACATT